AAGTTTATGAAAAGTAATTTTTTTGTTCAGAGCTCAGTAAATCATAATATCAACCAAAAGACCAAGCTCTTGATTCTAGCTTGATTTTTACTATTACTAGTAATTAGTCTTAGCTATTACCCTAGTAAGATGAAGAATATACTTTAATCTATTTGCAAATAAACAGAGCTAATATTTTTGCTTTAAAATGTTAGAAGCCAATAAGTTAATATTCATAAAAATATTTTTAGTACCCCATAAAAATTTTCTTACTTTCTTAACTACAAGCAGCATCCTCCTGCCCCGTTGTTGACCTCCTCGTGCTAACGGTTCCTCGATTAACTCCATCCCTGAGTCTGCCCTCGCCCAAGAGCTCTTCAGATCAACACTAGATCGATTTAACCCTATTCTAGCTTACCGTACTGTGATGCAATGAAACCACGTTGCTGATTCCGCTTTGCAATGTAATTAAAATAAGTCCTTAAAAATTCGGATGTAGATATTAAAATATCTGTAATCTTTTTCCCCCTAGAAATGGGTCACCTCCAGGTAGATTACGGAGATAACAGGCGACACCCAGTTGAAGACTCTTCGCTTGACAGCATCGCCTCGGTGGTGGTGCCCATCATCCTGGGCCTCTCTGTTATAATAGCATTCCTCTTCATCAATCAGAAGAAACAGTGGATACCCCTGCTTTGCTGGTACCGAACACCAACTAAGGTAGCATCCTGAAAAAGGTTGTCTCTTGTCTTGAATGATCAAACTAGCAAAGCTTACATGCTTATCACTTGCTTAAATTGTCTGATATCTTTTTTACTAGCCAGTGAAATTTTTACTTTGCTCTTTATAGCCTCAGGTGCACACTAGGCTGAAGCAATCTGATCTCTAGTACTGGGCCGGGGCTGGCTCGGTCATTGGATGAGTTACCCATCATCCACTGGTTAACAAAACCTGACACTTCACAGACCCAGTTTCCTAAATTTACTCTGGTTTTCAAAGAAGTACCTCTGGATTGATTCCTAAGTCATTAGTTATGTAGGACATTAAAAGCTAGCCACCTGGTGTTTCTCATGACCTATCAACCTAGAATTGGGAGAGAAACCATAAAGGGAGGTTGACGATATGCTGAGAGGCCAGAAGAGCTAGCTGACTGTGAGGACATACAGAAGTCCAAAGGACCTGGACACGTGTCCAAGGGAAGCAGAGAGAGGGGAGGGAGCAAAAGATGAAGAGACTGCGCAGAGCAGCACTAGACAAGGCAGGAAGGCAGACTTCACAGGGAGGGAGAAAGAGTGTGTGTGTGTTGCCAAGTCTGCCTATTTTAAAAGGCAAGGAAATTCACTTTTCATTAAAGGAAATAAATCGTGATGCTTTCCAACCCTGATTCTACCTTTTGCACTTAGTTTTTTCCTAGTAAAAAAATCATATACCCTTAAGGTTGGAAAACAGCCTGAGTAATTATTTTATCCAATTTACCATCTAGATAACCCTTCCCGGTAAAATCCCAGCAGATGGTTTGTCCTGCCTCTGGCTTTCTGACAAACCAGCACTGGGTGCAGCCTGTGTGTGGGGCACAAGCTGGGTCAGACCCGGGGCAAGGACTGAGCAGGACACAGTCCCCACTGCAAAGCAGAGGAAACAGACCCCCTGATAAAGTACGTGGAGGAACTGGACACAGACTGTCACACAGCCTGAGTGATTCAGAAGTGCCTGTTTCTCTCAAAATCTGCCTGTCTGGTAACTTCCTCTCACTCTTCAGCCGTCCTAAGTACTAGTTTGCACTTTAAGGATTTGAAAATGGTTATGTCATTTACCTTGCCAATTGTGTTTTCCCCCCAATTCCCTCATCTGCTCCATTTGACATAATTTACTGACATTTCACCTTTAAACCCAGGTTGACAGCATCCCTCATAAAACTGTCATTGGTACTAGAACAGATGTAAGGGCCACATCGAGTCTGCCCAACAGTGTCCTGTGAAGCTACTATTCCACTTGCATTAGATACTAAATTTGCATTAATGTGTGGTACATAAAGCAGCTAATTCTTTATGGTTTTTCCTCCTCTCACTACATAGCCTTCTTCCTTAAATAATCAGCTGGTATCTGTGGACTGCAAGAAAGGAGCTCGTGTCCAGGGAGACAGTACCCAGAGAATGCTAAGAATTGCTGAACCAGATGCAAGATTCAGTGGCTTCTACAGCATGCAAAAACAGAGCCATCTACAGGCAGACAATTTCTACCAGACGGTGTGAAGGCAGGCAAGTTGGATGAGGTTTAGAAGACAGAGCGAATAAATCTGCTCTTAGAAGTAAACTAGGACTTGTGCACTTGCTTAGTGGACGGTATCGGACTGTGACGTGATGTGCAGCGCGGAGAACTGACTGGGAGGGGCTCTGTCTCCAGCACCGTGCAGAACAAGCATTCCCGCCTTTCCTCAAGATAACTGACCAAGTGTTTTCTTAGAACCAAAGTTTTTAAAGTTGCTAAGGTATATTTGCTTGTGCTATAACTGTAGAGATATTCGGGGGTGGGGACAGGTGAGTTTGGTTGGGGGAGTGGGTGGGAGGGTGGTGTCGGGAAGACAGATTGGTCAGCTTGGCTGGGGGTGGGGGGCGACCCCCAGCAACGCAGGCGAGGTGCGTTGGCCCGGAGGGTAGCTTTTCCTGTTGCTCTGAAGACTGCACTGGTTGCAGCACACAGCTCAGGCCTGGGCAAGCAGGAAACAGAAAAGGCCCTGGGACCCAGCTGCCACGACCACCTAGAACGACCAGACGAGCGCACCAGAACCTTTCGATAGCCATCCCAGGTCTAAAGCCACAGTTTCTTTCCTAGAGTCACAACTGCGGTAGGCAGTAAGGAAGCGAGAGAAGTGTGAGGGCGGCATTTCTCTCAGGCGGGTTATTAAGGATATATACAGCTAGACTTTTTGCTGCTTTCGTTTTCTTCCACGCCAATCAGCCAGTTCCTAGCAGAGTCAGCAGACACACAGGACCTACAGTCATTTCTCGATGTGAGCGAGCACTGGAGCTTTTCCGACGGCAGCGTGGCAGGCGGGCGGGGAAGGCGGAGGACACCGCGTGTTCCCAGGGGCTGTGCTTCCTTGTTCGTGGTTGCTTTGTTCTGTTGGGTCGTTGGTTGTTCATAGTTTTCGTTGAAGCTCTAGCTTAAGAAGAAACTTTTTTTAAAAAAAGACTTTGGGGATTTTTTTTCCTTATTATATACTGATTCTACAAAATAGAAACTACTTCATTTTAATTGTATATTATTCAAGCACCTTTGTTGAAGCTCAAAAAAAATATGCCTCTTTAAACTTTAGCAATTATAGGAATATTTATGTAACTATCTTATGCTTCAAAAAAAAACAGAAGTATTTGTGTGCGTGTGTATATAATATATATAAACATATATATTTATACACATACAATTTATGTTTTCCTGTTGAATGTATTTTTATGAGATTTTAACCAGAACAAAGACAAACAGGCATTCCATATCAATGCTTTTGATCACTTACAAATTTTGAACACAAAATCTCATTCTACCTGCAGTTGAACTGGGAAGAAACACATGTGTGAGTGTGTGTGTGAGAGAGTGTACGCACACGCGTGGGCAGGCAGCACCACCCCTGCTGCGGAGGAGGTGTTCCTTGATTAAATCTTCTTCCTCGTTCGGATTTGCTTTCGGTCGGTTTTCAGTTCCCTCCGCCTGCCAGCAGCACTGGTGGCAGTCTGGGCGCATCACTAATCAGCTCCTGGGTTTCATTTTCTTTTTTCTTCAAACAACTGTTTGAAACAACTACTGGAATATTGTCCATAATAAGCTGGAAGTTTGTTGTAGTTTGCCTCAAATATGACTGACTGTATACTATAGTGTTAACTTTTCAAACAGCTCTTAGCACTTTTATACTAATTACCCATTTGTGCATTGATTTTTTTTTCTTTTAAAAATGCTTGTTGTGAAAGACACAGATACCCAGTATGCTTAATGTGAAAAGAAAATGTGTTCTGTTTTGTAAAGGAACTTTCAAGTATTGTTGTAAATACTTGGACAGAGGTTGCTGAACTTTAAAAAAAATTAATTTATTATTATAATGACCTAATTTATTAATCTGAAGATTAACCATTTTCTTTGTCTTAGAATATCAAAAAAAGAAAAAGAAAAAAGGTGTTCTAGCTGTTTGCATCAAAGAAAAAAAGATTTATTATCAAGGGGCAATATTTTTATCTATTTCCAAAATAAATTTGTTAATGGTATGTTGTTACCAAAATAGACTTACATCAGCCTGATTATTATAAAATTTTGTTGACAATTAATCCATTCCTGGCATAAAAAGTCTTTATCAAAAAAATTGTAAATGCTTGCTTTTTGTTTTCAATCATGGCCATATTATGAAAATACTAACAGGATATAGAACAAGGTGTAAATTTTTTTATTATTTTAAAGATATGATTTATTCTGAGTGCTGTATCTATTACTCTTTTACTTTGGTTCCTGTTGTGCTCTTGTACAAGAAAAACAAACACGATTTCCTGGAAAATAAAACAGATCTATGGCAGGCACTGGGAGTGCACTCTCGTACTGTTTGTTTTGTTTTCTTCAGAAAGCCGGGGCCGTAAGGGGAGGGTTTGCAGTTTGGTTCTTGCAGCAAATAAACACTTTTAATCTTAAATCACACAGTGTAACTTTCAGAAAAACTCCACATCTGGGAGCAGGAGGGAAACTGTCCTTCGGTGGTCAGTCAGGCTGTCGGCGTGACGGCCTGCCCGGGTCTCAGCAGCCACAGACTTGCTGCACCGTGTCCTCCAGGGGGCGCTGCCACAGCTGCAGCCAGTGTGCCACAGGCTCAGGACAGGTCCCCCTCCCCGCTCCTTACCGTCAGGAGGCCACTCGGGGTTTCGACAGCTCGCACTCAGTAGTGGCGGACAGTGCGTGGGAGGGTAAGGGGGGAAATCTAGCACTGTGAGGGAAGAAAAATCGTTAAAGACTATACCAAAAACTCTGAAAATAAAAATAAAGCTCTCAAGCACACATCACATGTCAACGTTTATTAAAGGACATGGACTTGACCAGAAACAGCAGGCCTGTTTCACGACAAGTGATGGACCCGTGAGCGGCTGCTTCTAGAATCAGCACGTCAGGAAAGCGTGGGCGTGCGGAAAGGGCAACACGGTCACGGGGAGTGGGCAGCGCTGCCGCGTACAGTTGCTAAGCACCTTAAGGATATAAACTCCTTTGAAAGGGCACTTCTCCACAGATACATGAGACAGAACAAACGTTTTAAGTTAAACGACACAAGATTCTGAAATTACATGGCAACCTCAGGTTAAAACACGATCGGTGGCAGAACGAGCGGCCGCCAGTCTCCACACTCACAACTGTCCAGCCCAGACGACACGTATTCTGGTTTCACCACCTCTGGGAACAGCCTAAGCTTAAGTGTCGGTCTCTCTGGACAATACTGGTAGGTGATATTTATAGTGACAATGCTCATAAAAATCAGTGTTGGTTTCTGCCATCACTGGGGAATAGCTATGTTTAGTCCAGTTCTTCAATGCAGTTGAGATCCAGAAAGCCGTAAGAACTGAAGTAGGCATACTGTCAGTTCATGAAAAATATAACTGCACATGCATAATTAATACCACACCTCCTTACTCTACAGAGTTGGAGAAGAGTCCAAAAGTGTTAGTATTTAACAAAAAAAATCCCTCGATTTCAAAATAGTCCTCTTGGTCTGTAATAAAAGAATTAGTGAAGGCATGATCTATTAATACTGAATCACAAACCCAAGTTCAAGTGTGCTGAGTTCCCGATAGCAGGAAGGCGACGTAGCCAGCGTTCAGAGGAATGCTGTGGGAAATCTAGCTTGTAGTCCACGGAAGACAGAACTGCTCCTGAAGTGACGCTGCCCTATGTGGGGCACAGAACTGGAGGGAGAAAAAGGAAACAAATGGAAATGTATCTTTTGTATATGCATACGCAAGATGTATATTCATTTTATATATCTTATATCTATATAAAGACACCATAACTAAGTATTAATGCAAGGATCTATAGGACCAGTTAGAAACAAAAGGTTTTAAAAGGCTATACACCCACCAATGACTCATTCTCTTAAGACACTTGTTAGAACTGCCCAGATGTGAGACACCAGAAGGCCATGTCCCTTAGGGTACCGCCACTTAGAGACAGAAGCCCACAGCATTTGCCCTGTTAGCCCTGTACCATGAGGCCTGTAACAGAGCAAAGAGACTGCCTGGCAGACTCAAAGGTGCAGGTCTCTGCCCACGTTTTGTTCTATCCAGGATCAGCCCTGGGGCCCTAACTACCAGCCTTTGGTTTGGCTGTTGGAGGCGGGCAGTGAGGCGGGTGAGAGAGAGCAGCTCAAGTAGCCCAGACAGCGTCTTGAACCATCTTCCTCAGGGCAAATGAGGCCACTTCCTACCTTCTTTCACTTCTCACCTTGGCACCCTAAAATTAAGGTAGCATATTTAGACAGCCAAGCCACAGTCACTGGTGTTAAAACAATGAGAAGAGAAAGCCCACCAAGGAAAGGGAAGGCAAGTTCTTTCTCCCTTAAAGCAACACCACCTTCCAGGCAAAGGTTCTACTACTGGTCCCGGAGGGAGAGGACTCATCAGCTGCCTGTGTATTTCCAGGATGGGTGGAAAACTGCGTTGAAATCACCCCACATCCTCACCTTCCCATGCACTTGAACCCCTCTGGGCATTGCACTCCCCTCCCTTCAGGTTCCTGGGCTGCAGTGTCACTACACTGGTCTGAACCCGAGCTCATTTTCCACCCAGTCCTTATGAGGCAGAGCCACAACAAAACCACAGCACACGCACACAAGCAGCTCGGCAGGAGCAGGTGCGGGACAGGCAGACCCGGGCTCGCGGGGGAGCCGGCGGCCCGAGCGTGGGAGCGGGGCTGGACGCGTGCTGCTTCCCGGAGGCGTGCAGTTTAGGTTCCCAGGGGCAGCCCAGGTTTGAGAGGAAAATATTAAAAATCCTTTCCCCCCAGAGCACTCTGTTCTCTGCGTCATAAAATTCTTCCCTGAATTCATGATAAAACAGAATGCTTCAGAAGCTCATTCTCTCTGTCCCTCATGGCAGGGCCCTGGGGACACACGATAATTAAAAATTGACATGTTCTTTATGTTCATCTCATTCTCGTTTCACATCTATAAGAACAAACCTCAGAACAATCCAGCTTTCATACCAATGCTAGCACAACAAAAAGCAAACAAAGATGTCAGATGTTAAAAAAAAAATTTCAGAATACAGTAAGAAAAAGCCTCCTATCAGAAAAACACAGCTTATGAAAAAGTCAGTGTCTTTTCTACCCTGTCAGCTGCTGCTAGCTGGCTAGCTCCATCCATATCGAGTCTCCTACGGGTGATCCTTAAGTATCACTCCCATTAAGCTCCTGTGTCTACCACCACTTCATGAAGAAGAAACATCCCATCCAAGTTATCAAACATCTCCGAAATCCCAGCCTTCCTTATGTCCAGCTAACAACTGATAGAGAACCCTTCCAAAAAAGAGAAGTTACCAGAAGAGGTTGCTCTTAAAAGTGGATCCAACCCCACAGGATGCACTGTGTGATCCTCTGAAAAGCTGCCACCTGAATCCCTGCTGCTTTTCAAAAATAACTGCGCTGAAGGCTATTAGTTTTGCCTGGAACTACATTCCTCAGTGCCCCCCTCCCTTTATCATCCACGTCTTGCCCTCCCTGAGCACAGTAGGCAACCCACCAACCTCTGAGCCGTCTGCCTCCTCACTGGCCCTATCCTGTCTGATCCTGGTCTTGCTCCTAAGATTAAGGCTCATTTGTCACCATCCTGGGTTCATGGAAGTCCAGTCTTCCTTTTCCTGGCTCTGCTGCCTCCTTCCCACAGCCTCACTCTCTATCCTCTTCCTATCGTCCTCAAGATGGCAGAGACCACCGCTCTCAACCCCGCCCAGTGGTGACACTGAAACTTGCAATTCTGGCACCATGTCCATAACATTTCCTCCACTCCCTGCCTCCAGGTTTGTAACTCAGTCATGGAAATGATTCCCAGCTCAGGGCCTCAAGTTAACTTCCATATAAACATAATTTATAATGTTGGTAGCATAATTAAGCCATATATCTTCACCCTGTGCAAATGAAATTAATAAAGGTTGTGCATTGGAAAGTTATTTTTAATCCATTAGCAAGACAATGCATCTACTGACTAGCCAGACCCTCCCAACCGTGGCACATGAGCCATTATAAAACTCACCTTTCAGTATATAATCAGTTAACAAGCTCGGAACTTTTTCACTGTCGTCTTTCATGGCACGAAGAACTGCGAAATAAAAGAAGGAAAAGGCAACAACTCTAAATTCAGATAAAAAATACCACTGATTTCAATCACTGTAACCTTACTCGTAAGTAACCCTATGGTATAATCAATTCACACAAAGTATTATTTTATGCTCAAGCGTAATATTTTAGTTGAATAAGTCCTTATTCAGGTAAGGATAGTCCAGTTACCCGACAGCTATTTCCCCGGTTTAACGAAGACTGCAGGCGGGAGGAGTAACCTGGTCATTGACACAGAAGGAGCACACCTGCCAGACTTCTTGGACACTGTTAAAGGACCAAAATGAAGGCCAGATGTCCACGAAGCGGCACCAGGGAGGCTGCCACCTGCCCCACTGCCCAGGAACCTGGGTGACTCGGCCTCGCCCTAAAGGGAGTCTGAAGACTGTACCGCTAAGCAAAGGTTAAAAAAAATCTGGATCATCGAGGTACAGATAACCTGCAAATAAATCCTGTGCCTTTGCAGTGATTGGCAACTCAGATTTTCTCCAGCGCATCCTGGGGAAAAGGCCTCACTGTTTTCCCAGACATAGGACAGCACTACACAGGGGAACCGTCAGGTCAGCCTTCCTGGGCTTAAACCTGGCTCTGCTGCTTCCTGGCCAGTGACTTAACCACTCAGGGCGCCAAGTTCCTCATCCAAGTAAAATGAGAATGACCACCAGACCTGCCTCCAAGGCCTGCGGCGAGTATTCAGTTACTAATTCAGATGGGAAGGACCTACAATGTGTATGGCACATAATATATATGCCACCTAAGCATTACCCGCAATTATTAACATGAGCATTATTCTAATTCTTATTACTACTATCATTGCACCTCTGGTAGCTTTTACCTGCTGCATAACCATAAACGCTGAGTCTCCACGAGGCTGCCATCTACAGGGGGTGGGAGCAGAGGCTCAGGCTCTCCCCCAGGTTCTCAGGAGATGACCGCTTTTTGATTTTCAAAGTGAAGGGCATCCTCCCATCAAGTGTCTTCACAACAACCCTGTCCTCACAGCTCTGTTAACTTGGGCGCTCACTGACAGCCAGGGGTCCAGCCTGCAGCCCACATGCCACATGCGTCCCCAGATGGCCATGAACGCGTCCCAACATGAAACCGTAAATTTACTTAAAGCATTATGAGATTCTTTTTATGATTATGTGTTGCAATGTATTTAATGTGTGGCCCAGGACAACTTCTCCCAGTGTGGCCCAGAGGTGCCAAAATGTTGGCACCCCTGCCACATTCACTCACCCGAAGATTCCAAATTGTGTCAAACTATGAAGATATTATCTGAGAACCGGCCTAAGGACGTTTTGATGTGGGGATGACCATGACTTTGACCACTGAATGTCTGTCCTTGGGTCTCTCCACAAGCCCTGGCTTTTAGGCAGTATTTATGTCCCCATCTTAGAAGGCTACTACGTCCAGGATTTCTGCTTCCAATCACATCTCAGATTTGTTCTCACTTCTACATAAAATCACACCCGCAGACCCCGCACCACGAAAAGCGCAGCACACCCGGCACGGAGAGCCGCAGCCCCGTGATTAGCCGGCCCCCACGTGACCTCGGACACTCACAATTTCTTACATTCTTCCTGCAAATCACAGGGCTGGCCACCCAGCTAATCTCTCAATGCTTTATTTCAGACTGGCTGGCATCACTTGATTTATCCATATTTAAGTATTAAGTGCTTTTCAAGGATCAGTCTCCACAGGAATGAATACAAGCCTCACGTCAGCAGGCAGGCGGCTAGGAGGGAACACACTCGCTTTCTGCCCTGTGCCCCCCAACCCCTGTCTCCATGTCCTCCGTTTCCAAAACACTGAACAGACAGCATCTCCAATACCCACTCCTGTGACGCTCCCCCCTGAATATCAGCAAATGCAACCCCTTCAGGAAAAACAAGGCTGAAACATACACAGCGCCAGGCAAAAGCAGGTTTACAGCCGTGAGGATGAGAAACAGTTTATTCTTGTATTTGTATTAATTATTGTGTTATTTTCCATACCAACAACAGTAAACCTACTTTGGCCCTGACCTGCACATTAACTTACTTACTCTGAGGGAACTGGAGCAATTATTTTTAGCCTCATTTTTCACTGAGACCAAGAGAGGGTAAGTGACTTCCAAGGATATCCCCGTAAACAAAAGGAACAGAACCAGAATTCAGGGCTCATTTGTGGTGATCCTAAGAGACACTCAGTATCATGTAGAGTTAAGTCTTACACGTTATTTTTGTTAGACTTAAGAGTATTTTTGTCTGCTTTGTCACTAAAGTATCCCAAGTGCCCAGAACATGACCTGGTATAGAGGAGGTCTTCATCAAATGTTTGCTGAATGATTGAATATTCTTAAAATATCACTTCCAGTTTATGTTTTACCTGTATCTACTGCCTGGGGCTCTACAGGTATTAGAGAGAGAGAGCACTCATAAGCGGGCCATACTTCTCCTAAATCTTTCCCATTCAGTACTGAACATTTACATGAGATCCATGAAGCATCTTATTTAGTGACAAATGGGAATGTTCTCAAACATGCAAAAGATAATGGAGAATCAAGTTACATTTTTCCCCCAAATTTCCACTTGTACATTTAAGAGCCAGAAAATTTAAAAAATAAAATAAAAACCATAAATCAACTCTAGATTTGGTGTTAGATGTCATAACCATTTATAGTTTCCTCCTCAAAAGGGCACAGGAGACACCCATCATGTACTACCCCAAATCAACAAAACAAAAACAGCAGCGTACTCAGCCAACTAAAATCAGTATTTAGAATCAGCAAAAGGTAACAGATTAATGTTGTCTTTACTCACTTTTTGTTAATATTTGAAGATCTTCAACAGATGGTGGTCCACTTTTTTTCTCATAAGGAATAACTGTTGTCAAGTACTACCAAGTTAAAAAAAACAGTGTCACTTAAATCTGAATTACCTGATCTACAAACATTAGATACAGCTACTAGTGGTCCAACTCATAACACTGAACCTGAGCGACTTTGTAACAAACCCGGGCATCTTACTGCCTCGGCCGGAGCTCCTTTTTTCACCCGCCTCTCTCTGCTCCACCCAAGCCCACTGTCAACATAAGGAGCCACTTTTTCACCTTTCGGTTATTAAAAATCTTACAGGATTGAAATCATCTGAGGATGATCAGTCAATTTGTTCATTTTCAAAGTGAAGTCGTATCTAACCTTCTCCTTACATATTTTTCAACACATTTTTAAAACAGTAATTTTAACTAAAAACATACTTGTAACAGTTTTTTATAACAAAATAATTCTCAGCAGCCAATTTTTTGGTCTCAAATAATTCTGTTTGAGACCATTTTTTCTGGTTGAACAAAACGGTCACATGAATGACTTGATAACTTTAAAAACACATACTAGCTTCTTCCAGATACTAACAAAGACACATTTACCCAAATAATTAAGAGGTGAACTATTATTATTATTATTATATTATTATTATTATTGTTTTAAGTTATTGTGTAAGTAGTTATAAATACTTAAAGGTATTAAAGGAAAAGAGAAAAGTGAGAGCAAGAATGGCCTCGGGAGAAATGAATCATGAAAATTTAGGTCTGAAATTGAGTCAAACTGCCTAGCTCACCAGTGTAATGGCCCTCAGGTGTCAGAGTGATGCCCTGTAAGTATGTCCCATAAAAGCACAATCTAAAAATCATTGTCCAGATTCTCCTATTCTGGCCACTCCACCAAACATTCACAGTTCCGTGCAGGCTGCATATGCTCACCTAGAGACACAGAGTTTTCCTTGGAATCTCTTCGGCCCCTCCCATTCCTTAGCCCCACCCTACATGGCAGCTCTGACCCTACTCCCCTGAGTGATTTTTATCCCACTCAATCAAAAAACAAGATACACTTCCTTAACAATAACTGGGTCCATAGAAAAGTAGAAAAAGTGAATTGTTCAATCTTTAAGAAACTTAGTTTTCCATCACCTCTTCGGTATAGACCTCTGCAAGGTGATGCTCAGTTGTACAACCGAGAATGTTTCTTGAGAAGCACGCCCAGGAAGCGGGAAACGTGCCCTCGCGAGGCCTCACTGGCGTCAGGTGTCACAGACACCCGGCCCGGAGAAGCGCCAGGAGGCCGTCCTCGGCACGCACGCCACCTGGCTGCACTTCCAAGCCTCCCTGCCTCCTCCCATGTGTGGGGTCAGTTCGGAAATTATTTAATACTGATTATTGTCCTTCTGAAAAAATACAAAACTATCTTCAGTACAAACCCTAGGCTCAAATGCCTTCTTTTGATAACTGCCTACAAGCTGCATTCTGTACTTTCTTAACCTTCACTTAAGCGCTAGATTGAAGAGTTTTGTTTGGGGAATGAAAATTTTAAATTGTTAAAAGTGATTTTAAGCACACTCAATGTGTTTTTCATGTTTGTGATATTCCTGAAATCATAAAACAAAATTGTTATAAAAAGCAAATTGCTGTTCTCATATCCATGTATGATTCTGTAAAAACAATGAGCTGGCTGACTTCATGATATACCTTAAACCACGTGAATATCGTTTAAAAGGAGGTGAGATAAACTCTAGAGATATTTTTGACCTAAAATGCTAATCTAAAAGATACCAACGTCTGGTTTTCTTTCCTCAAAGTGACATCTTGTTTCTTATACTTTTAGAGTTAGAGAAGCATACTCTAGTTATTTTGCACAATGATATATTCCATACATGCAAGTAATTATATTTATGTTAAATCTATTTGTTGAAAGGTTAAGAGTGAAAAACGGAGCTCTACAACATGTATTAAGAATGCATTTAGTCTATTGTCCGATTTGAAAAAATGCTTTTCCCTAAAGGAAAATTCTATACATTATCCAGACTATAAATATAATAAACTTTAATTTCTCTTTTAAGCAATGGTCTTAGTAAATTAGTAAAAATACCAGCCTTTAGGACCTTCACTTACACAGGAAATGAAAAAGCAGAGAAGGAGGAAAATAAGGATAACCGAGCACCTGTTTCTCTCCACCTGAATTTCCAAAGGTGTGGCGGAGGCCATTCTGAATGACATTTGAGATCCCTTCCATGCTGAAGCGCTACAAGCAGCAATATACGGCCCGGAAGAAAAGGACAGAGAAAGAAGTTCAAAGACTATTAGTGAGAATGTAACCCGATGGCTTATGTGCCCGGGAGGCAAGCAGTTAGAAAATGCCACTAATCATTCACATAAAGCAGACAAATTCATGCTGTTTTGAAAACGTTTTTGCTTCCATTTCTTTGCAAGTCAAATGCAAAAGCAACTGCTTTTATGCCACTATGTTCAAGTTTTCCTAACATAACTGATAAATTTGGTCCAATGTAAACACTGTAAGTTGTACATGTTTGTTTTATCCAAAATTTACACATAGTTTTTAGATAGCTTTTGATATTGTTTACCTACATTTTTATCAAAAGCCTGAAAACTTACTATCAACAGTATGCATATTTGCGGCCTGAGTTTGTATATTTCTACCGTAAATTTGGTTAACGTTTAACACAGCATTTGGCAAATGAAATGCTGTTGCTTGGAGAGCTGGTCACCGCTTCTCACTCGCTCTTCAGCCCGCCGCCACCGCCCGGTGCAGAAAATTCGAGCCGCCGGAGCACAGTGGGTCCCACGTGCCTGCCGGGCCTCGCTCTTCTGCAAAGACTCATTCCCTCTGTTTCTGGAAAACAATTCTAGGTTCTTTCTCCCCGCAACCTCCAAGACTTCCTAGAATTCATTGTACTGGAAAGGGACTATTTCTTTCCAAATGTCTTATCTTGATTTGTAGCCATTCCACCATGTCATCGGGCACAGGGAAAAGTGTCCCCCTGGCACCTCGGTGGCTGCTGAGTCAAAGGACTTGGATGAATTCTCACGCCATGACTAACAGAGAGGAAAGGCGGTTCTGATTCACCCCGTGGTTCCTTTTCCTGGAAATTTCTTGGGGAAAGTTGATTCAAGACGCACATCTGAGGAGTGGAGAGAGAATATTTCTCAAGGCTCCCAGGAACAAGAGCAAGGAAAACGAGGCAACAGCCTCTGCCCTCGAGAAATGGAGAGTTTAGCCCAGTGGTTCTCAACGTGTGGTCCAGGGGCCCCGCCCCGGAGGTCCCAGAAACCCTCTCAGGGGCCCATGAGTCAAAATTATTTTCTTAGAAATACCGAGGCACAACCTGCTTCTTTCACTCTCATTCTCTAATGACTTAGAAGGAAATATTCCAAATGACTGGATGCAGAAGAGATCTGAAAATCTGGCTGAATTCAATTGTCAGATATCAATGAGATCGACAGAAATGCATAGCAATGCCATTTTGCTCTCTAGATTTTTTGAAATATAGTTTATTTTTCATAAAAATACTATATATGTAAGCATTAATGAATTTCTTATTGGTATTTTTTAATGAATTAATCTATGTTAAACTTTTATCAGTTTTAATTTCTCATACAGTAAATACTGATATATATACTATATAACCTACATAACCAAACTACAACCTATGTATACAAAATACAACCTATATAAACAAAAGCTCTTTCAGATCTTTGATAAATTTTAAGACTATAAGTCCCAACAACAAAAGGTTTAGAAACACCAAAAGCTTTGATTTTAGGAATCAAAGGAACTAAGTGGATCGGTACTAGTCGCATCCTCAAAGGTATCACTGAAGTTCTCGAACCACATGTGACCATCCGTGGGAGCTCACACAACCACGCTTCTCCCAGCCCCATCCTCCTTCCCGCCTGCCCTGCCCAGACGGTGTTTCGGCAAGAATCCAATGTCCGGTCAAGGCGCCCTGACTGAACATGCTCCATTCTGCTGACAGCATACTATGACCTTAGACATAATTGGCTTGTTTTAAAAGAAAAACCTACAGGTAACTATTTTTGTGTATTTTTCACATGCAATCATATAATTTGTTTACTTTTTTAAAAACAGATTATTGAAAGAAATGACTTATCTTAGTCTCCAGAATCTGCAATAAAAATTATCGGAAACCCTTTTCAAATAAATGTCAATGCATTTTTTAATTCTATTAAAGGTATTTCCTTCCAAAAGCAACAAAGAGAAAAATACTTCCTTTTCATATTATCTGATTCCATTATCTATAGACATATATAAACTCAGAAAATCTCAAGCAATATGAAAAATTTTAGAATCCGTGTACCAAGAAACTAAAGTATACTTTATATTTGAACAGCACATTGTAGAAACACTACCTTTACTTTTTACTTTTCCAGTTGGAAACCTAATTTCTATTTCTAAAGCTATGGTAGATGCAAATTCTTAAATTTCTAAAATATACATGTAATTTAGGTTTCCTTACTAAACGTGCATTTATTGATAGTGCTGAGCCATTTCAACTACTGGTAACCTGACCATTTCTGAAAAACAGCTTTCGTGCAACCATAGCTCCAGACTTAGTGGAAGTGAATGAAAGTGCAGTCAAGTGAAGCCACAGTGATTAGGAAAAGTACCAAACTGAAAACTGGTCCCAGCGAAAGAGGGTGAGTAAAGGAACTTCTGCCCTTGTGACTGACAGCAGCTGAGTCAGTAGCTGTGGCCAGCAGGCCCCACTGCGTCCTGACCAGGCAAGTACGGTAACTGGAGGCCGGTAAGGCTCTCCTGCTCCCGTCCCACTGGGGAAAGACAGACAAGAAAATCAGAAGGCTTGTGGGAAACACAAAGAAACAAAGCTCTGGTTGCCATCAACTCCCACCTCCCCAGGAATCATGCAGTAACCAGTTTCTGCCTTCACTACATTTTCAAACTCCCCCTTCTCTACTGGCTCTTTCCCATGTAAAGTCTCGAACCCTTGACCTCATTCCTTTCCCCAGGGTTTCCTGAAACAGCTCTGCCCAGGTGTCATTTCTCTGATGCTGAGGCCCACAGACACTTTGCAGGTCGGAGGCATCCAGTGAGCTCCCCCCCTTGCACCTGCTCCCTGGATTCCCGGCCACCAAACGCTCCCCGAGTCCCCACCCCCGAGTCTCTGGCTGCTGCTTCTCTCTAACACACGGGTGTCCCCAGGATCTCGCCCCTATTTTTTTTCTCATGGAGACTCTCTGAACATTCCCACTCGGTACTGTCAACTTTTGCCTCCATCAATGTATAGTTCCACTCTGCTAAGATCAGTAAAAGGCTAAGAACAGAGCCCAGCACAGGCTCAGTAAACAGTAGCTGTCTTTATTATAATTTTTATGACTTGTGTGTTTAATGGCTTATTGGATACCTGTAAATATTCCTAAAATTCATATCCAAAACTGAATTTGTCCCCCTCTCCCCACCAAAACTCAAACAAAAATAAGAAACCTGTTCTCTCATCAGTATTTTATACCTCTCATTCATTTACTCATTCTTTCAAAATATATTTAGCCAGATATTATTGCAGGTATTAAGGATTCAAAGTTAACACACCAGCCAAGAACCCTCCCATCCTCAGAAGCTGACACTCCAGTGTAAGAGGGACAGAAAAAGTACGAGGAAATGAACTAGAAAACCGCAGGTAACGGGTGTCCTGCCGATAGCTACAACGAGGCAATTAAAAATTGGATGTCTACTTTGTACCCAGTGGTCAGAGGCGAGTTCCCGAGGAGGTGACATCTGAGCTGAAACATGAATTACACAGCCTCCCAGACGAGCTACAAAGGACAATGAACAAGAGATCCTCTCAGACAACAAAACCCCAAGCAGCCAAACTGGCCGACCAGGGAGTTTGCTCTGCGGCCAGTGCACAGGGGTCCTGTGTTCTCCCGCAGGATGTGAAACGGCAGCCACTGAGCGCTCCCATTCTCGCCGCCGTCGAGTATGTTTTTACTGCAGCGCGCTGTTCTCTCACCACCTCTGCGTGCTGGGTGCGCTGGGACGGGAGGCTTAACCTTTGCACCACGGGGAGCAGCATCCAGAGCTGACAGAAAGGACAGCAAGCCCCCCACGACGGTTCCCTGAGGCCAGACGCAGTCAGGGTAGTGGGGACCTGCCTTACTCCCTTGGGAGAAGGGGTACAAGTCAAAACTCAGCGACCTGACCCTCACTCCTCCCTGCCGCCGTGCTGAACCAGTTGAGCTCCTTCATCTCTGTGAAATGCAGCCACTTTCTCTCCCCACTGACATTTCCTGGGCTCATTTCTTACCTGAATGACTGCCACAACCTCCTGATCAGCTCCTTATTCCTAGCTGACTCCCTCCAGCTAGTACTCTTTGAAACACTAAAGTTACCCTTCCAAAAAGACAAATCTGAACATGTAACAAGCCATGGAAAACCTCTTTTTGGTTTCCTACAGCCTTTAAATAAAGACCAAATGCCACAGCGTGGCATCCAAAGCCATCTATTTTCTGGTTCCACTCTGCTGTTTGCACGGCCTCTCCCTGACTGACTTCCTCTCTCCCCATCTAGCTTTCTCCCTCAACTTCTACTCAGAATGAGCAGCCCGCAGTTCCCCACACGTCCCGAACTGTCACCTCCAGGTAGCTGCCCACACTTCCTGTCCTCGGGATTCAGCGCAGCCTTCCCAGACCAGGGACAACAGACACACACACACACACACACACACACACACACACGACCAGTGGGGCAGTGCCAGGCAGAAGAAGCACTGAAACCACGGCTGTCATTTTCAGTGTAGCAATTATCACGCTGTACCTAGGTTTCTCCACCTGGGCCTCACTGACATTTTGGGTGTATCATTCTTTGTGGTGGGGGAAGTCCCATGCACTGCAGGGTGTTAAATGGCATCTCCAGCCTCTACTCAGCAGGACGCCAGGGGCACTGTCCCCCACCCCGCCCAGCTGTGACTGTGACACTGTCTGGTGGGGGGCACACGGGCCTGGGTGAGAATCACTGCCTACAGCGAAGGGAGCGTCTTGTCTCCAGATCCTCAGCCCGCAGGCAGCATGCCCTGGAGGCTGGGATTCACTCTGTGTCCCTGACACCCTTTCCCGGCACAGAAGTAAACAGCAATGTATGTTTGATAGTAGGTAAAGAATAGATAATCACAACATTTCTTTCAAAGTGAGATGAGGCATAAGATCTAAGAAAAACAGCAGAGAAAGAATAAGGACAGTTTTATCAGT